TGCTGGTGCTGCAGGTGGTGGCTTAACCCACTACACCACAGCGCCAGCTCTTCAGAGAGCTTTCTGAAGTCCCTTCATGTATAGGTGATTTTCGCTCGTAGAATGGGTTTCCAAAAGGCAAATTTCTAGGTCAGGAGGCATATACACTTTTAGCTGTAGTAGGTAGTGCCAGGTTACCTGCCCCCAATGCTAGCAGTGCCAGGTTACTTGCCTCAGCAACAAAAGAGAGAGTGCCAAGTTTCCCACATTTTTAGCAGACTTGAATATTTTACACTTTCAAAATTTTTTTGCAAGTCTGATGAATTCAAGTAATGAAAACTTATTTTGCTTTAATTTGCATTTTCCCAACTAATAAGGAGAGTAAGGATTTTACTGGCCATTTATACTCAATGGCCTGTTTTTACCTTTTCCAATCTTTCTTTTGAGCTTTTGTCTATACAATTTACAGAAACTCTTTGTTTATACAAGCTTATTCCAGCATCTTTCTTCTTGTACTACCATAGAATAAGTGAATATTTTTCCAGTGAATCATATGTACTTTCCCTTGTTAATGACACTGAAGTTTTAAAAATCAGGTTTAGCATGTCTAGCTATCTTTTCCTTTGTTAGTCCTACAAAATTCATTCATGTTATTATCCAAATCTATTAAATTTTGCTCTAAAAATGTCTTTTGATACTTTTCACTGTTTTATATTTAAATATCTAAACTACTTAGGGCACAATTTCCATATTTAGGGGGAGGTAGAGGTCACAGTTATTTCTTCCAGGTTGATAACCAGTTATAGTAGCCCCATTTCTTAAAAAAAAAACCTTTACAATTGAAATACCATACAACTCACCCATGTAAAGTGTACCATGCAATGTATGTTGGTATAGTCACAGAAATGTAGTTTCCATAGTCAACTTGGGATCATCTCAAAAAGAAAGCCGGTCCCCTTCAGCTCTCACCCCACCTCCCTCAGTCCCTGGCGGCCAACACCCGCTTCCACCCACCTCCCTGTGAACGTGGAGTGGCATGTCAGTGTGTTTTTGCCCATTTTCCCGGTGAACAATGATGGTGAGCAGCTCTTCAGGTGCTCATTGGCTTGTTTGTACAAAATCTCTTGGAGAAATGAGAAATGTCTGTTCACATAACAGTACCATTTGTAAATTTTTTTCCTGATGAATTCAAGTGCAACTTTTATCATACTTTAAATTCCTTTCTTTACCTGGGCCCTTTGATTGGCTGTCTTCCTCAGATCTATTTATCTCTTCCTGGCTTGTACCATACTATTAAGATAATGGTGGCTTTGTAGTGTGTTTTATTATCTGATAACACAAGTTCTCTTCAACTAGTCTTTCTTTTCAGGTTTCCTTGACTAGTCTCATATATGTACTTTTCAAATGTATTTCAAATTAGATATTTTTACAGTTCTAAAAATTTTAAATTTGTTGTTCTAATAGAAGTTGCATTATAGCCATTATTAAAAGTTTTATAAAAAGGATTGGCTTTTTATGATAATAAGTCTTCTCTTTCTGTGTGTTCAGATCTTGTGATGTGCCCTGTGATGCTCAGTTTAGATGATGCTGGTGTTGTCTTAAAATTATTCCTGGGCATTTTATGGCTTTGTCATTGGTAGAAATTATATATTTCTTTATTTTAATTTCCAATATATCATTGCATTTCGAAAAAATCCTACAGGTTTCTACTTGTCTTTTATTAGCTACTTCCCCAATTATCTATTTCTGGTAGCTTTTTTTCTGGTAGTTTATTTTTTGAAAGGCAGAGCAACAGAAAGGAGGGACAGAGAGAGAAAGATAACTTCTACTGACTAATTCACTCTCCAAATGACCACAATAGCCAGGAGTGGGCCAAGTTAAAGCCCAGAACCAGGGACTCCATCCTGGTCTCCCACAGGGATGCTGGGACCCAAATGCTTAGACCATCTTTCTCTGCTTTCCCAGGTGCATTAGCAGAAGGTGGATCAGAGGGGAGCGTCTGGGACTGGAAACAGTATTCCAATATGGAATGCTGGTGTCATAAGCTGTGCCTTAATCTGCTGTGCACAGGGCTGGCCCCATGATTCTACTAGATATAATTAGAGTTTCTTGATTTATAATCACATAATTTGTAAATAAATATTATTTTTTCCTCTTAAAAACCAGCTGTTTATTCTGATTAGTCCATTTTATTGCTATATTGAATTAAAGTCTCCCCCAAAAGTTGAATAATAATAAACAACCTGTCTTATTCTCACTTTATGGAAATAGCTCCAGAATGTCATTGTGCATATACTTACTATTTGGTTTTAGTAAACAGTCGTAGCAAATGGAAGTAGTTTTCTTGTATTTCTGTTTTGCTTAATATTTTATAAGCAATATGTGCTGAACTTTATCACATGATTTTTCAACATCTGTTACTATAATTATATTTTGTTCCCTTTATTTGTTGGTGTAGTGATTCCAGTGATAGATTTCCTGATTGCTGAGTCACGTTTATTGTGTTAACAAACCCTCCTTCTTCATGGTGCATTATTATCCTCAGATTCTTCCCTTATCCAGCTAGTTAACATTTTATTCTGGATTTTTCATTCATATCCAAACTATTCTGTATATTTTTTTTCTTTCATTAAAAATTCAATCTTCATAAGGTTTGGGGATTAAGAAAAGGCAGGAAGTTTTCCAACTTTTTCTCATGTCTGGAATAGTTTAAGTACCATGAAAATCATCTGCTTTTAAAGTTTACATAAAACTTATCTTGAATATAGTCTATATCTTGGGACTTTTTAATTTTAATTGTGATCCAGAAGTAGAATTGCTGGATCACAGAATACCTTGTGCTATTTCAAGGGCCAAGTTTTAATGTCTTTAAAAATTTTTTCATTTGTTAGCCTATTCAGGATTTCAACTTCTTCTATGCTCAGTTTTATAATTTTACACTTTGCTTGAAGTCATCTAATTTTTCAGTTTCGCTTTTACTTTTATAAGTTTACACATAATATTGTTATAATTCTTTAACCTTTTCTGTATCCTGTGTTGTGTCTCTTTTCTTATACCTAATTACATACATTTTTGTTTTTCTGTATTTTCTTAAGCAGGTATTCCTAGAGGAGGGGAGGTTCTACTTTGTTGCCTTTTCATGTTTAAAAATTTTATTTCCTCATTTTACTTACTTGAAAGGGAGAGAGAGAGAGAAAGTCCCCCACTCACTGGTTCACTTCCCAAATGCTCACAACATCTTGGGGGTGGGCCAGGGCGAAGCCATAGCCAGAAACTCTGTGCTAGTCTCCCACATGTGTGGCAGGGATCCATGTACTTAGATAGCTACCTGCTGTCCTCCTGGGCACACATTAGCTGGAATCTGGAATTGGGAGCAAGGCAGTCTCTCCAATGTAAGGTGCAGGTTTCCCAAGCAATGTCTGAACTGCTGTGCCCAAAACCTGCCCCTATGAAGTCTTTTCAAAGAACCAGGTTTTGATTATAATTTTTCCTTTTAATTGTTTTTTCTATCATTTGTTCATTTTCTAGTTCATTAATTTCCAACTTTAACTTTATTAATGTTCTTTTTTGGGCTTAGTTTAGTCTCTTCTAATTTCTTAGATTGAATGTCTAGCTCATTTGCTTTCAGTCTTTCATTTGTTTTTTTAAACACTGAAAGCATTTAAGGCTATATATTTTCCTCTGAGTACAGCTGTGTCCTGTAAGTTCTGTATGATGTTCTATGTTCTCTTTTTCATTATTAGGTGATTTGCAATTTCAGTTTTGTTCTTATTTTTGATTTAAGAGGTTGTTCCTTAACTTTCAAGAAGGTTAGGCTTTCAATCCTGAAGTTAGCTGTGTTTGACATTAAAATTGATGTTTCCACTCCCTCTCTGCTCTCATTTGCTTGGTGTATCTTTCATATTGATTTATTTTCAGTCTTTTTTCTTACCTTGTTTTGAAAGTATTTCTTGTAAACAACATTTGGTGGCATTTTATTTTTTTTAACTTGCACAATCTGGTTTTTGATAGGGAAGCTCACTCTGCACTTTCAGTTCAATATTCTGATTCCCCAGGCTCCAGTGCCCTCAGAGGTAGCAGGTGCTTGCAGCGGGGGCTGCTCCCCTGTTATCGTTCTGGTCCTTTCTTGCTCACAGGCCTTTCCCTTCATTCCTGTCATTCAGCAAAGATAAGTTGCAGCATCAATCTGTACCAATGATCAGTGCCAGGTTTCACATGTTTACCATAATTAGCCCAAATTCTGATGCTTCGATTCTGCTTTTTAGGATCCTTGTCTCCAGTAAGTTAATTGTAAGACCTTCTAGAAATACTTACCTTTGTAACCCACATGTCTTTTAGATACCACTAGATTGGGATCCCCAGATAGCCAGGTTTGGGAACTGATGATTGGCTGAGGAACAGATGCATCCTATAGGACTCCAGCTGCTGCCTGGTGCTCTTGCACTCTTGCTCTCGCTCAGGTTGCTGCCAGTGTCACCAAGTTGCTGACCCTAGCTGCTCTTTTCTTTCTTGGCCTGGCAAGATGACACCTTAGCTCCTCGTGACCAAAGCGGGTCAAAGGCAGAGGGGCTCCCATGGCTAAGCTCTAGGGCTCCTAGTGACCAGTCCTGCATAGGCAGCACTGTCCCCATCTCCAGTGCTGCTCAGGAGTGCAGCAGGCCTGCTTGGTGCCGCACCTGCCACAGTCACTCCCTCCAGACTCCAGGCCTTGCTGCTCCCGCTAGTCCACCCAAGATCTCCTCTCAGGCACTTCCTGGTCCCTCCCCCAGCAAGGCTCCCTGTGGGGACCTCAGTCCTTATGATAGGTCTGTCCCTGTCTCAGTCCCAGCTGGGAACTGAGTTCAGTGCTTCAGGACTTGGAGCCCCTTATAAATGCACAGATAGGGCGGGGCATCTCTTCCAGTGCCTACCCACACTCCATGGCCGTTAAGCTCTCTGAACTTTCTCTTTTTCTCTCAAACCCACCAGGCTGGTCTCTCCCCACCCCAAAGATTTATTTATTTTTTTTTTGAAAGACTTACAGCAGAGAGAAGTCTTCTGTTAGTTCACTTTCCAGATGGCTGCAACAGCTGGAGCTGGGCCGACCGAAAATCAGGAGCCAGGAGCTTCTTCTGGGTCTCCCACATGGGTACAGGGGCCTGAAGACTTGGGCCATCTTCTACTGCTTTCCCAGGCCACAGCAGAGAGCTGGATCAGAAGTGGAGCAGCCAGGACTCAAACTGATGCCCATGTGGGATGCTAGCACTGCAGGCTGTGGCTTTACTCATTAAGTCACAGCACTGGCCCCTAGGCTAATCTTTTAAGAACTCATACAAGCCTTTGTCTCAAGTGAAAGAGGGGGGTGATGCCAAGTATGGGCCGGGTGCACACCACAGGCCAGGTACTCTGAGTGTGACCTCTGGACAAGCAGAGATACCCAATTGCAGGGCTGTTCTAGTACATATGGGGGCTTTTGTGCAAATCAGCAAACGGTGCCCTCCCAGGGTAGGTGCAGCACATACCAGACGCATGGCCTGGGCAACAGAGAGAGGGCAGAGTTTCAGGTCTCACTTGTCTTTTTGACCTCATGCAAGGACCAGCCAGAAGCACTGAGCTAGGCAGTGGCCCTGCCCAGCTACACACAGAACTAAACAGAGAGAACATTAGGATCCAAATATTGGGCCTCCAGAGGAAGCACACTCCTGGGCTCTGGTCCATACCAACCCCTGAGATCCTGGAGAAATGCAGCCCAAGAGTCTCTCCTGCAAAATGCCTATTCTTATATCTAAAAGCCCAAACCCTCAACTGCACAGTTCCCGTGTCTTGCTGTTTGGCTCCCATTTCCCCCAGGGAGCCAGCAAAGACTCTTCATGCCAGCTCTGTCCTTCCCCTCCAAGGAGAAGTAGATTCCCTGTCCCCAGAGGCAGACTATCCCCTAGGCCTCAACAGAATGAGCACACACCACTCAGCAATCCTAGCCTTTACACAGAGCCAGTCACTCACACCAACACAGGGCAGCTGTTTGCTTAGCAGATTCTGGAGGTGAGGAGGGCTTTTTAAGCGAATCAATGCAGAAGTCCCTGGATCAGGCCCTGCAGGGTGCATTCCCTCAAGGTGAAGCCATCCAGAGGGGGCAGGAGCGCTAGTGGTGGTAGCAAAGCTCCCCCAGAATGTGGAGAGCCTGAACCGACAGGCTGTATCTTGAAGACAATGAGAAACCATCAAAGATTTGGGGGGGTGGGCGGGCAGGAGAGTAGCAGGGGTTGATCTTGGCATGAGGAAGATGACTCAAGCGCCTTGTGCCGGGTGGTGAGGAGAAAGGATTTGTCAAATGCCGGCGTGGCATGGTCACTCTCAGTGGCTTGGTGCTGGAGAATTGAGAGCAGCCAATTTGGGAAACCATTTTGAAGAGCACCTCTGAACACCTCCCTCCCCCTTTCCTCACTAAATGGAATATAATCCCCGCAATCATTTCACAAACTTTCCCAGACACCATGTGGGTCTGTGTGCAGGAACAGAGCAGGAAGGGAGGAACCAGGACAGCCCCCACCCCAGCCTTTATCCCCACCCCTCAATCTGAATGTGTTTTGATAAGTGGGGGCTTGGAAACAGCATAACGGTGACTAACTGCGCCTCCCCCACCAATTAAATTTTTTAAAAAGCTGCTATGGAAGGAGCGAATATTAGTTTCCTGATTTATAAAGCCAAATGGATTAAGCTCATTCATTGCCCGAGGAAACAAAAAGGAACTCTTCAATACCTCTGTGCACATTGAGAGCGGGGACAATACCGGTCTTTAGAAAGCAGAAACCTAATTTGGGGGAATCAATTACCCTCTGTGTCCCTGCCTCTGTGGGCTCTCTCACTGGCTCTCTCAATAGAGATTTCCTGGGAGGTAAATGGTGGAGAAGTTGGTCAGCCACGGGCGACACCCCCACGCAGCCTTGAGACAGGAGGCCAGGCACTAGGCACAGGGTGGGGGAAGGGGGTGCCTGGGTGTCAAGCATTTGTGGTAATGGGAGTGGGGAGGACATTTAGTGGGGACGGTATTGGGAGGGGGATGGGATGGGGTTTTACAGCTGGGGAGTGGGGAAGGGCAAGGCTGAGCCAGTGTCCCGACAGGTGATGGGGGAACCCTGTGGCCCTCCCGATTCCACCCGGATCATTCTCGCGTGGTCTGCAGTCTCCCCAGAGGGTCTGAGCAGGCGGCCGGCAATGGCTGGGGCAGTAACGAAGAAAGAAAGGGGATCCCGTGGCGCGGGCCAGAATTGCCGCGGAGTCACAGCCGCACGGTCACAGCCACTCACATTCCTGTGCCGGGTCTCCAGGCCCCCAGGGACGCACCCAGCCCGCCGCGCTCCCACGCTCCTCCCGCGGCGCCCCCAGTCCCAGGCTTGGAGTCCACTCTCCCGCCGGCGCGGCCACAAGGCTGGCCGCTGCCCGTCCGGGGGCCCAGCTCGCCGCACGGCCCTCCCTCTGGCGTGCGGTCACACACGCACGCACACACAGCCCTCACACGCACACACTCTGGCTGTGCTTTTGTGTTTTGTCAGAATTAATGAGAAAAGTTCCCGTGCCCTGCGGGTAATTAGTGTCCTTGGAGTTAAATAAGCTAATGGCGGGCACCTCTGGCCCAAGCAATTATGTTTGTGTATTGAATAATTGATTCAAAGGGGGGAAGGGCCGCTAATCAGATCTGAGCATAATGAATTGATTTAATTAACAGGGGAATCTGAGGGGCCCTGGGAAATGCAGGCTTCACTCTGCTGAGGCGAGCGCGGCCGGTACGGAGAGAGAACGCGCGCCGCTCCGGCTCCGCTCCGCTCTGCTCCGGCTGAGGCTGCCGCTCCGGCTCCAGCCCGGCCCGCTCCGGCCCGGGCAGCGGCTGCTCGCGCGGCCCCAGCGAGCCCGGCCGGGCAATTACGCCCGTGCGCCCGCCCCCGCGCCCGCCCGGAGCCGCGCCGCGCCCTCTCCCTCCTCCCGCGCTCCCTGCCCGCGGGGCTGCGCTCTGGGCGCCGCTCGGGCCGCCCCGGTCGGCGGCCGCGGCTCGCGGGGCGCGGAGCCCGCGAGGGGCCCGCAGGAGCAGCGCGGGCGGGCGGGCGGCGGCGGCTGGAGTGCGAGCCGCGCGCCCCTCGGCGTCCTGGGCCTGTGTCTAGCTGGAGTCGCCGGGCGACCATGGTGTTGGACCAGGAGGATGGTAGGTGCCTGGCGCGCGGTGCCATGCCGCGCGGCGCGTGGGGCATGGGGCGGGGGGGTGGGCGGGCGAGCTCTGTCCAGGCCATCCCGCTCAGCGGCAGCGGCCCCCGCGCCCGCCCCGGCTGCCTTGGGCCGCTTGGCCGCTTCCGGAAGCGCGGCGGCGGAGTGTGCGTTCGTGTGTGTCTGTGGAGGGTGCCGGGCGCAACCCCCGGGGTGGCTCCGCGGGACGGGTAAGTCTCATGGGCCAGCTGGAGCCCGCCGACCCCGCACGCTGTGGCCGAGAACTTTGCCGCTGGCTCTGACTGCCTCGCAGGCACCAGGAGCGCCTCTGCGACCCGCGCCGCGGGGACGCCGCAGTTCGAGCCAGTCCCAGGCCTCTGGGTGTCTGGTGGTCCCTCTGCCGCTCGCCGCTGGGGACGAGGGTGCAGTCTAAGCCCCGTGGTCTTGGGGCCCCTCAGGCCTGGGACTTCACAGCTGCGGGCCCCCAGCCAGGCACTTTGGGAGGGGCTGCCCTGGCTCGGGTAGAAGAGTGGGCCATAAAACTCCACCAAAACCAGGTTCAATCAGAGAGGCACGTTTGCCTCGGGCTGCTCAGTGGCCAGTCCCTGGTGGTCATTTTGTATCAGTAATCTTGTGTCTCTTCTCTTAAGGAGCTCCCCACCTCCAAACTAGTAAGCTTTGGGCTCACAAAGTCTTGGATCCACGCTGGGTCCATCTCACACCCTAGCCTCTGCTAGTCCCTTGGGAGCACCGGAAGCCCTGGTTATCCAGAGACGTCCCCAGGGTCTGGAGGATGCAGAGTTGTGGCAGAAGGACGGGAGACTGGGGAGAGACTCTGGCCACCTGGCCTTCCTTTCTGGCCCCTCTAGTCCCTGCCACCTCCCACAGTGACCAGCTGAACTACTTTGCCCAGGAGTGCCTGGATTTTAGCCCTTAAAGTCCTGCAAGGGAGGACACCCTCCGTCCCAGGGTACACCTGGACGGTTGGGCAGCCCACACCTGCACCTTTCCCAGGGCTGTTGTGTGGCTGCGGCTTGGCCTTCATCGAGGAGGAGGAGACGTGTGTTTTCTGGGGTGCAGATCTGGCGTAGGCCTCACCGGGGGCCTAAGAGTTGTGACCGCAGCCTTGGAGAAGGTCTGTCCGAGTTCTCCAGAAACCAGACAGAGAAAGCTTCCCCACTGTGCACCTCTGCACTCCCGCTGCTAGCAAGTGCTTGGGCACTGGCCGCTTTTAGGGGGCAGGGCAGCGTCTGAACTTGGCCTGCGGGCATCCTGGTTGCATTGCAGAGTCTGTACGGCCACTCTGTGCTGTCAGCTCTAGTACTCAAGAAAAGCAGTCCTTGTCACCTTGAATACCTCTCTCAGTATTACCTGTGAAGCCAACTTGTGACCCCGTCTTGTAGACAGTTGCACTGTGTCGGGAGCAGGGCCCTCAGGTGGAGGTACATCTGACAGCCTCCCCAGAAAGTTCTGGAATATCTGGTCTGCCTAGGCCCTCAGGCTCCGAGTCTCACCACCCCCCCCCCCGCCCCCAGTGCAGGAAGCCTTCCTGCCAGACACAAGGACAAACCGCAGTTCCCTGCACAGAAATGCATAAGACAACTAGTACCAGTGCTTTTCTCCTCACAGTAGTCAGGGTGCTGCTCACCTGCTGCCCCCCCCCCCCCCCCCGCACTGCTGTGCCCACAAGTTTTTTTCCCAGGGCATTCTGGAGCACTCTCGGCGTGCCAAAGTGTGAGCACACGCTCATCACCTGTGGAATGTGTTGGTGAAAACAGCCTCTCCCGGCCCCAGGGGGATCTCAGGATTCCACTCTGGAGTTACGGGCGTGTCCCCGGGTCTGGAGGCAGCTTGGATGGGGGTGAGCCCAGGGGTAGGAGTTACCTCTGGGCTGAGGAGGAGGAGGGATGGGATGAGTGAAGCTCCTGTCTGGCTCCGTCATCCCAGCAGGGCCCTTCCGGTGTCTGGAGACCCTCTGAGAGCTGGTGGGCAGCTCTGTAACCCAGTAGTGTAGGTCCCCCTTCAGGTCACAGGGGAGTGCCACCCTCCCACCTGGAGGTGCAGAGTCAGCCAGCCACCTGTGAGCACCAGTAGTCATCATAGCAGCTGCAGGCCCCTGCTGGCACGCCCACCCTGCTTCTGTGACACACTGCCTGCTACCCCAGGCCTCGGGCACAGGAGCCCCAACTCCCCAAAGGGATGCCAGCTGTGTGGCCGCTAATTGGGTAACCTTGGGGGCTGGCGTGAGCTGGAGCCAGCACAAAGACAGCCAAGCACCACACAAGGTGGGCATGGGGGGCAACTGGCCTTGGCTGAGTGAGGAGAAGCAGCCCTTGTGGAGTGAATGAGCCCTGGGAGCACGGAGGACAGCTGCCCCTTGCCTGCCTGTCCGGCCCCCAGCTCAGGCAGGGGCGCGGGGCTGGCACCACATGTGCCAGTGGCAGCCGTGCCAGAGCCTCCCTCAGACCTCGAGGGCAGAGCTGTGGCGGCAGTGGCAGGGAGAGATCAAGCTTGCAGTCCTGAGGGACGGCGAGCCTGAGCAAAATGATATATTTAACATCAAATATACTCAAGGACTATTAGGATTAAGTATTCGAGATGAAGGGGAAAGCGAAACCCTCTGAGCTGCCGAGGAGGCATCTCATTAGAAGCAGCCGCTCGTCTCTCTTCTCGAAGCCTGACTTCCCTGCCTGGGAGAGGAGATGGGTTGCAGTTCTGCCCCTGTCCCCTCTCCCAGGCCATTCCCAACCCATGTCAAGCCCTGGGGCCTCCCAGAGTTCAAGGGGCAAGACCCAGCCTCCAGGTCTCCTTTGTACACAGGAGCCCCCGACTCCCTTTGTTCAGGGTGCCTGTTTGCAAAGTACATTCGCATGTGTTATCGCATCAGATCCCCACAGCAACCCTAGAGACAGCAAGACTAGGTCTCCCATTTCACAGACATTGAAACTGAGGCCCAGGGAGAGCCTTCTCTCCTTGCTGGGTTTCTCAAAAGTGACTGCCAGGACTAAGCTTTCAGCACATGTGTCTGGAGCTTTCCTTGGGCTGGAGAAGAAACGTTATTTCCATCTCCTCTTGAAACTCTGTATGGTGGTGGTGGTGGGGGGGGATTCAAATATTGGTATTTAAAAGCAGGTGGCCTTCCTGGAGGAGGCAGCCTGAGCACCAGCCTCAGGGGTCTGGGGAGAAGCAGGATAGGGAGGAAAGGCCATGGGCGCTGCTCCTCTTCCTGAGTGACCGGGCAGAAACTGTCAACCGGGTAACAGCAACAGGATCTGGTTCACTGCTCTATCCTCAGTGCCTTAGAATAGTGCTTGGCACCTAACACATGCTCAGTAAACATCAGTGGAAGGAGAAGAACCGTCAAGGCCATGGCCAGCTTGCTCCAAGAGAAAGGAGACAGGCTGCTCCCTCTCTGAGGGGCCGCTGCGGTTAGGGGCAGTGCTGTGGGACTCTCTCAGCGGAAGGCTTGGTAAATAAGTTGGAAATCGACCAGAATCCCCCGGGGGCAGAGCCCGTAGGATCAGAGGGCACGGGGCCGGAGAAATATTCTGGTGAGGAGGCAGAAGTCAAAGCTGAGAGCCTGGGAGTGACAGACGAGGGTCGTCCACCAGGCAGACGGGGAAGACCGGGACCCTGGGTCCCGAGCGGAACCACACGCCGAGCTGGGGCCGGGAGGCCTCCAGGTGGCGCTGCGGAGCCGGCCAGCCGCACGCCTCCACTCCCCATTAACCCGGGAGGGAGGGGGCCCCGGGAAATGTGTGCATTTATGCAGTAGCAGGAGTGCAGACCTCATACACTGAGGGAGAAAGGCAGCGGGAGACGGCCGCCGAGATTCCCCCATCTCTCTGAATATAATTTTAGATTGAGATTCAGATTAAATCCGAGGGGAAAACACTTTATGAGGCTGAAAGCTGTGCCGATGCCAGAGCCAGGGTTATGAGCTATCAAATGCAATTACATTAAGACAGATTATACTGGGCAAATTGAGCCATTTAGAAGGTGAGAATCAAAGAAACGGCTCTGATCCTCTCTTCCCCCTTCTCTCTCCCTCTCCCTCTCTCTCTCAATTGCAGTCCGTAGTTCCTTGCAATTCTGAGGCACAAAAGTAGGTGAGACTGCTTTTGTATCTGCGAAGTGCTTCACTCCTGAATGTAATCATATGCTAAGTGCAATTCTGGATAAGCAGCCGAGAAGAGGTATTTAGACGCTGTCTCTATATGTTGTTGACAGTTCCGATTGTAGTTTCATAGATTCATACGGAGCCCCTCTTAAAGTTCAACATGTATTAAGAACAACTTGCGTCAGAGATTTCGTTGCTCGATACCTTCTATTAATTTTATTCGGGTGTCCTGGCGCCCAGCAGCCCCGGGCCCCCCCAACCCCGGCGCGGCGCGCGGGAGCACGCGCGCGGGGCCCCGGGCGCACACCTGCGGGGCAGGGCGGGGGGGGGGGGGCGGCGAGCCCCGGGCCCGGCTGCCGGCCGTGCGATGCGCCGCGGGGCCGCGGGGAGGCTCCGGCTGCCTGCGGTCTCCGTGTCGTGGAGCTTCGTGTTGAGGGTTTCGTCTCTGCGGCTGCTCCTCTCACCGCAGCCATCGCCCCCGCGCCTGCCGCGTAACCCGAGAGGCGCTGAGCGCCGAGCAAATCAGCTGCTTCGGGGGAGAACCGGACTGGAGAGCTGGGGGCGAGAGGGAGCGCGCGAGTGCGGCTAGCGCCGGGGCGCCTGGCCGGCAAGGGTGCGGCCGGCTGGGCCCTCACGGGGACCGCTGCCCACGCGCGATGCGGTGAGAAAGGCGGCGCCCTCGTGGGCTGGGCCCCTGAGCGCTGGGGCGGGAGTTTGGCCCAGAGGAAGAAAGTGTCCCGTTGCTGGCCAGTGGCCCTCGTGTGGGAGCAGAGCGCAGGAGTACCACTGACTGGAGCCCTTGTGGGGCCTAGAACCCTGCAGGGCCGGGAGAGTGGAACAGAAGCCCCTGCTGTTGACCGCCCTAGCCGGCGGTCCCGCAGACCCCAAAGCTTGCCCTGTTGGGAATGGCCTGCACCAAAAGGGCAGGGGATCCCAGCCACATCGAGGCTGAAACCCACAGTGTGCTGAGAGCGAGGGCAGCCCCGGGGTCAGGGGAGTGGCCATTCCAGGGCCTCCTGCCCTGTGGGCCTTAGGGGGAAATCTGTCTGTGATTGTTGGTAGCTGCCCCTCAGCCTGGACTCTGAGAGGGTGGGTTTGCTGGGGAGCAGAGGGGGTCTCCTGAGAGTGGCTGTGGTGGCCAACCTCTGACCTGGTCTGTGCTGGGCCTGTGCCCTCTGCTCATGACACAGTGGTATTACAGACCTGGTCAAAGTTGAGTGACTTGCTCAAGGTCACTTTGCTGCTCCCAGGTGCGAAGGCCCCAGCCTACTCCCCACCATCCAGCAGGGAGGGGGCTGGCCTGCACAGGGCCATGGAGGCTGTTCCCTGGGCATGTGGTGGGAGGGGAGAAAAGGGGGACCTGAATGTGGCATCCGTCTTCAGTTCTCCTCTGTCTTCACAGACTGCTCCCGCGGAGCCCCAGGTGGGCCACCCGAGGACTGAGTGGTGCAGCTTTATGTGGAATAAAAAGGAGGAGGAGGGGTCTGGGGTCAGGCAGACAGGGAGGGAACAGTGCTTGATTTGGGTCCTTTCATCACTGACACCAACACCGTGTGTCACCTCGGAGCCACCGTGCCCCTCTCGACTCTCTCCCTCTAGGTGCAAATGCAGGCCTCCAGGATGCCAGTGCCCAGGGTCCTTCCTTGGTACCTGGGGGTCCTCTCACTCTGGGGAGCACGTGGGAATGGGATATGCCTTTAGCTGAGGTTATTTTGCATGGTTGGCTCCCCACACCCAAGCCCTGGGCTCTCCACGTCCTAGACCTTGGGCCAGGAAGGCTGGTCTTAGGTGGACAAGATGACATCTCCACCTCCACCCAGGGCTTCATGGCAAGATCTCTAGGCACCCCAGTGTACTCCAGGCTCTGATAATACCAAGGGTTTCAGATGAGCCTGGGTGGGAGTGGATCTTTGCAGGTCATTTTGGCCAGTCTTCTGCCTTTGGACAGCAGTGCACCTCACCTGCCCTGGGCCTGTGTTTGCCAGCTGTGGAGGAGAACAGGAGGTATCCCTCTGTACCCACCCTGTCCACTCCCATTGACTCTGCTGGGCTGTGGGATCCGTTACAGCCCAGGGCAGGCAGGTGACTGGGGGCCCAAGCAGCCACCTAATTCTTACCCTGCCCAGCTTGGGACTCTCCTCCAGAAGCAACCTTTCTGCTCATAACCCCACAGTCCACTCGGCTTTCTAGCTCCAGGGAGCCTTGAAGGCAGCACCTTCAACTGGGCGAGGGAGGAAGGCCCTGGACCCGTTCACCTGCCCTTCCGAACCGACTGCCCAACTGCTTCCTGGGCACTTTATGGTGGGCACCTGAGCCGGCTGGCAGCGCCGACTCTCTGGGTCGCCAGGGGGTGTGTCCCTCAGAGCCGCCCTCAGCACCCTTTGTCTGGCTGCAGCGGGGCCTCGGGGCTCCTATTAACCACCCCCAATGCCTTTTCTCCACCTGACGGCGTCTTGCCGCGAGAGGCTGGGGCTCCTCCGGTTGAAGTCGGGTCTGCCAGCTGCTGAGGACCAAAGCTCTCGCTCTGCTGGGCTGCAGGGCTTTCATGTTGCACTTCTGAAAGATAATAAAATATCAATCGTTTTGCCGTAGCAACGGGTTTAAGAGACTTTCTGAAGTATTGAATCGTCAGAAAAAAAATTTTTTTTTGCTTTTAAGCACAGTGCATTATTAATAAAGTAATCCATTAGGTCGAGCAGTGAAGGGTCACCACAGAGACGGAAAGATCTGTTTTGCAAACGGTTAAACTTCGGGTTTTAAGATTAATTGCTTTCATTTGGACGCTTGCTCTTGGCCTAGCCAGCTCCACTTTCCTGGAACTCAGGGTCCCGGCTTTCTAAATGCTGCCGGCTCTGTCTGTCAGCGAAAGGGAGCCAAGCTCCAACTTCCCCCGGGGGAACAGCCCCTCTCCTGGCACCTGCCGCCTGGGCTGGCACCAGGCTATGGGCTTTTAGCAGAGACTGAAAGTCTCAGAGGAACTCCTGCCCTGAACCCTGCGACATTAGGCCTTGGGCTATTGGGG